AAATATAATATAAATCATATATAACAGATTTTTCATCTAGAAAAACTAATTTAAATACTAAAAACCAACAAATGGGCAAATCTAACCGATTAAAATTAACAACTCATTCACTTCTAAATTTCTATAGTCATCTTTTGTCAAAACTCAATACTTAGATCATATATAAGTTTCAAAATTTTCTCCAATTACTATAGTAATAATATAAATAGGAAGCTCAAAATATACAGGAAATATTCATAAAGAAAGTTTGATAAAAAGAGGTAATCTTATGTACCTAAATTATCTTCAAAGCTTTGCCTTCTCCTTCACGAGGACTACTGCTATGCTTTCTCTATTTCTCTCTCACTCTCTTTCTCTCTTCCCCTCTTTCTCTCACGCATTCTCATCTGCCCCCTACTCGCTCTTTTATCTCCATCTTCCCAACTACCTTTTTTCATTTTTTTTTCTTCTAGCATTAAATCCTTCTCCCTAAAGTCTTCCTTGAATGCCAAATTTTCCACATGCCACTCCCAATTTCCACGCTCCAACTTTTTCCACCCTCAAGTTTCAACTTTCCATCGAAAGTTGGTGGAAAGTTGACTCCTATATATATATATTATATAAATAATAGGATATTACACTCTGAGGTGTCAAGTGGGGCAGTTCACAAGTAATATATAATGATAGCCATTACAAGTCATACAAGTGCAATGATGCAATTCCCGTCAACCATATCCCTCACTTTAGGGGATTTTTAAGAGCTGAACCTGGCCTATCCCTCACTATGGGAGACGTAAGGAGCCCAAAAAGGCCTATCTCTCACTTTGAGGGATGTAGGGAGCCAAAAGGCCTATCCCTCATTATGGGGGACGTACTGAGCCAACCATCATGCATTAATGGAGGCCTTACCACGTGGTAGTAACTATCAAAAACTCTCACCAATTCCCAATTCATGCATCATGCTCAAACCATAATCAAATAGTAATTGAACATTTCATAATTAACTTCTTTCAGTGGCATATCTTTCACAATTCCAAGATTCAATCATCATCAATCGAAACCCCACAAGACGGTTTTCCTTTTTATACATAATATACACTTTGAACATAATTGTTACTCGGAGCACAAAACATAAATCTACTCACAATACCACAGAAGCATGTACTAAGGATTGAAAAGTGGTTACCTCTCGCCTGATCAAGGAATAACAAACTGACAATACGGCCCCGTGCACCAACAAGGCTCACAACCGGTCTATACAAGCACACAAACGCACAACCACCATGTATTAGCTTTCAACTAATAATGTGGCCAAAACAACAATTGGGGACACAAAATTCCTATCTCCCATCAAAACTCTACCCAACTCAAAGGGTATAACTATCAAGGCAACACTCCATGGTCATACAAATCCATTAAAACCTTAATTCTTTTCCAAACGTTAATTAAAATTCATAACCTCAAGGACCCACTATAGGAATTCAACACCCAAACATCCCATTTGAACAATTGGAGTCTTAACAACATTCTAAACCGATTAAACATCCAATTTAACCCTCCTTAACATAACCCAAATCACAAAACTCAAAATCAATCTCCACATTGTCATCCTCAATCACAAACCTCCCAATCTCATAAACCCTAGCTTCAAAAACTCAAGGTTCTCCAAATCCAAGAAAACTACACCGATTAAATACTTAGACTAACCCAAAGCATTCAATTAAACTCAAAACAATCGGTCAAAAACCTCAATTCCATAACAACCTAGAAAACTCTAGGGTTTCACTATAAATCCTTATAAATTCCAAGAAAGAAGATAGATTAGAGGTTAAAATCACTTACTTGAGGTAATGGATCCTTAGAAATGCCCCCTCCAAGCCAGAAATTCAAAACCCTAGCAGAGCCTCTCTCTCTACCTCAGATTTTTCTAATTTTTGCACACTGAACCCCTCCTGCGACTATATAGATTCGAACACCTTCGCCGTGGCGAACTAATCCCGAGAGGGATTACTCTCCTGAAAACCCTACTTCGCCGCGGTGAAAGTTTCCTGAAAGGAAACTCTCGCTTTCCTAGAAAAACTTCGCCGCGGCATGCCCTCACCTTCGCTGCGCCAAAACATTCCCGAAAGGATACTCTCCCCTGAAACTCTCGGTGCGCTGCGGCGTAGTAAAACTTCGTCGCGGCGAACATACCCTGAGAGGAGTCTGTTCACCTATTCCTCCAACATACCTCAAATCCAACCCAAACACCAAGATCAAGATTAAATCGCTAATCTATCCTCAAAATCAACCAAAAGAGGCTATTAAAACCCGATAAAACTCAAGACGTTACAATTCTCCCCAACTAAGGAATTTTGTCCCCAAAATTCAAGCAATCACACAATACACCACACAAACAAACACAAAACACTTACTAAGAAAACAAGCGAGGGTAATCACGTCGCATCCTTTCCTCTGTCTCCCAAGTGCCATCACTAGGACTCATGCCCTTCCAGAAAACTTTCACCAATCGAATGGTCTTATTCCTCAACTGCTTGTCCTTCACATCAAGGATTCTTTCCGGTTCAGCCTGGTAAGTTAGATTGTCATCCAGCTCCACCTCCTCAGGCTCTAAGATGTGAGATGAATCAGGGTGGTACTTCTTGAGTTGGGACACATGAAACACATCATATACGTTGGACAGGCGCGGTGGCAAAGCAATATGATAAGCCACTTCTCCAATTCTCTCCAGAATTTCGAAGGGTCTAAGAAATCTAGGAGATAACTTTCTCGCTTTAATGGACCTTCCAATACTAATAGTAGGTGTGACCCTCAAAAACACATGGTCACCCTCACAAAATTCCAATGGTCTCCTCCTCCTATTAGCATAACTCTTTTGCCGGCTCTGAGCTGTCAACAACTTCTGCTTGATGACCTCAATCTTCTCTGTGGTGGCATCTACCAAGTCTGGTCCTAAAACCGTTCTTTCACTTAGTTCCGTCCAACAGAGAGGCAATAGACATTTTCAGCCGTAAAGTGCTTCATAAGGGGCTATCTGGATGCTGGCATGGTAGCTGTTGTTGTAGGCAAACTCAGCTAAGGGTAGGTGATCAATCCAACTCCCCTTGAATTCAATGGCACAAGCTCTCAACATATCCTCTAGCGTCTGAATTGTCCGCTCAGTCTGTGGGTGATATGTCGTACTGAACTTCAACTTAGTACCCAAAGCCGCATTCACCGCTTTCCAGAAGTTAGAAGTAAAGCGTGGATCTCGGTCTAAGACTATACTCGACAGAACCCCATGAAGCCTGACGATTTCATCCATATACAACTTGGCCATTCTCTCCAAGGTATAATTGACTTTGTATGGCAAAAAGTGAGCAGATTTTGTCAATCTGTCCACCACCACCCAAATAGCGTCATAACCTTCGGGTGTCCTCGGCAAACCTACAATGAAATCCATGGAGATGTTGTCCCACTTCTACTGAGGGATTTCTAGTCCTTGCAACAAACCTCCAGGTCGTTGATGCTCTATCTTAACTTTCTGACAAGTTAAACATTGGAGTACGAAGTCAGTCACTTCCTTCTTCATGTTGGGGCACCAATACTGCTGCTTTAGGTCGTGGTACATCTTAGTTGCACAGGGGTGGATGGCGTAACGGCTTCGATGAGCCTTCCAATATCTCCAAGTTCATAGTCTTGTACTGGGCCATCCTCTAATTCTACCCGAATCTTTGCCAACTGATCATCTTCCCATTGAGCCGCTCGTAAATCCTGATAGAATTCATAATCTCCAAGCACTGCACACAAAGTAGCCTGCTCCGACGGTACAATTGGGATCTCTAATAACTCCTCGAGCAAGAATTGTTCCTTTAAGCTTATACAGAACACATGCACTGCTTTTCTACTCAGAGCATCTGCTACCACATTTGCTTTTCCAGGATGATACTTAATCTCAAAGTCGTAGTCCTTCAGGAACTCCATCCAACGACGCTGCCGGTTGTTCAACTCTTTCTGATCCACCAAGCATTTCAAACTTTTATGGTCACTGAAGACTTCGAACTGGGAGCCATACAGATAATGCCTCCAGATCTTAAGTGCAAAAACTACTGCCGCCAGCTCCAAGTCATGGGTTGGGTAGTTTTCTTCATGTGGCCTCAGCTGCCTGGAAGCGTATGCCACCACCTTATTGTTCTGCATTAGCACAAAACTCAAACCCTTTAGTGACGCATCGGTGTAAAGAACATACAGTACTCCAGGGATCGGAAGTGTAAGCACTGGAGCTGTAGTCAACTTGGTCTTCAGCTCTTGGAACGCTGATTCACATTTCTCTGTCCAAACAAATGGTTGATCCTTCTTGGTTAACTTAGTCAATGGCATTGCAATCTGGAAAAAGCCTTGGATGAACCTCCAATAGTATCCAGCTAATCCCACAAACTCCGTACCTCAGTTACCGATCTAGGGACTTCCCACTTAAGTACCGCGTCTACCTTGTTAGGATCCACTGCTACTCCCTGAGCTGACACCACATGACCCAAGAACTTCACTTCTTTTAGCCAAAACTTGCACTTTGACAGCTTAGCATACAACTGGTGATCCCTCAATATCTGTAGTGCGATGTGAAGATGCTTTCAATGTTCTTCCTCACTTCTAGAATAAACCAGAATGTCATCGATGAACACTACCACAAATCTGTCCAAATAAGGTCGGAAGATCCGATTCATGTAGTCCATAAAGACAGCTGGAGCATTTGTCAGTCCAAAAGGCATCACCAAAAACTCATAATGTCCATAACGAGTTCGAAAGGCTGTTTTTGAAATGTCCTTTGCTCGAACCCTTAACTGATGGTATCCTGACCTCAGATCAATCTTAGAGAAAACTGATGCTCTGACTAATTGGTCCAATAGGTCATCAATTCTAGGCAACGGGTACTTGTTCTTGATTGTGACCTTGTTTAATTGTCGGTAGTCGATACACAGCATTAAGCTACCATCTTTCTTCCTCACAAACAAAACCTGCGATCCCCACGGCGACACACTTGGTCAGATAAGTCCCTTTTCTAACAATTCTTCTAGCTGCTTTTTCAATTCGACCAATTCTGAAGGAGACATTCTATAGGGAGCCTTAGAGATTGGGGTGGTTCCTGGAACCAACTCTATGAAAAACTCCACTTCTCGCTCTGGAGGTAGTCCTGTAACCTCGTCTGAAAACACTTCGGGGTAATCCCTCACCACAGCTATCTGTTCAATTCCGCCTGCCTCATCCTCACTAATTGAAAAGAAGACAATGAAGGCCTGACAGCCCTTCCTCACCGCCTTCTCTACTTGAGCAGCTGACAACAAAACTGGACCACCTAACATTTCAGCACATAAGGCACCTACCGGAATTGTTACCAACCTCCTTTTACAATCAAGGATTGCACCATTGGCCATCAACCAATTCATGCCAATAATCACGTCAATACCTTTCAGAGGTAGACAAAACAAATCTATTGTAGAATCTCGATAACATACATTTATAGTAATGTATTTTGTACTGTTCTTTATTATTCTTTTGGGTGATGCCAAAGGGATAAGTCCAACACATAAACATGATACTATTAGAGTGTCAAAGCATAAGATTTTTCTTGCATGTCCCTGCATCCCAGATCTTTCAAATAGTTATGTTTACTTGTTAGTTATAAAAACAAAATATATCATGAGTCCATGGAAAGAATTCCATGCATTTTGAAATCCCAATGAAAAAATCTTAAGGGCATTATGCCAACAGAAACTGATTCACTTTTCTTTTTTGACAGGCTCTCATATTGTGTCTACTGAACATAAGAGGCTCTTCCCCTCACATAGTCCAATTTCTAATGAAGGTCCCCTCCTTTTCCCTTAACATGAGGAGCAAGATAGCACATCCCTTGCTTAAAGATATATCATGATAGAGAAAGACAGCCCTTCAATTACTCAGCGTTCATTTAGAAATACAACTCCCATGAAATAGATTGCCAAGAAGATGGTGTGCTTTCAATGCTGCTGAAAACCTATATTCTTCACGCTCTGAGTTTCTATTGGTCTTGCAGTACATGTTCTTTTAAAAGTTGAGTTTTTGAGTAGATATTGTAAGCAATAACTTTCCTTCTTTCCTGAGTAAAATTCTAGCTGTTTGGGATTGCATTAGGGTGTCAAGGCCTTAAAGGGCATCGCTGCTGTAGATAGCTTAAATTGTAGTAAAATACCTTTTGTTGGTTAGATATGAAGACCCATCTTCTTTCTTTCATGCTACCAATATCATCAAGTAGATTTTGTAAAAAGCATATCCATGAATCTCTATTCTCTCCCTCAACCACAGCCCAAGCTAATGGAAAATATTAGTCATTAGGATCACGTCCAACGGCCACAAGTAGTATTCCTCCATACGGCCTTTTTAGAAAACACCCATCTAACTCAATAATAGGCCTACATCTCGCTAAAAAACCCTGCTTCACAGTGCCTATACATTCATATAACCTCTTGAAGATGGGGGAGCGGTCTATGTATAGTTGGTCAGTAACTAAAGCAAAAGTTGTCTCTGAGTTGTGCTTTCTCACTTCATTGCAACAATCTCTTTATGGTATTGCTCCTTGAAATCATCATCAATAATTGTCTTTGCACTTTTCCTTGCCTTATATGCCTTCCACACTAATACTTCAACTATATAGTGCTCCCTTAATGAACCAATTATATCAACCAACTTCATGTTTTTATTTGCCTTCATATAATGCACTATTTTTTCTAAAGTCCACTTGTAAGTGGCATTCTTCCCTTTTATGGAGACACCACATGTGTGCTTAGATTGTAATGTCTTCACCCTATATGTCAATTCATCTCCTATTTTACTCACAAAAATTAACCATTTGCATTCTACTTGTGCACACTTTACTCGACACCTCACCTTATCATTTTTCATGAACTTCACTTCATATCCATTGAGTAGGGCATACTCTCTTACTGCATTCTTAAATTGTTGAAGTGAAATGAACTCCATCCCCAACTTAAATTGAAACTCTTTGCACATCTCCAAGGGATTATATTTGGGGTGTTTCACTTTCACCACTAGACCATCCTCATCATTACTTAATCCATCAACTTCATCAATATCCTTTGATTCATAATCAGATAACAAAGCCAAGATGTCCTCCTCTCTCTCTTCAACCAAGTTTCTTTGCTCTACTTCATTAGGTTCAACTATCATCAATTGTGAACTACTAATAACTTCATCTAACACATCACCCACGCCAACATCAACATATTCCCTAAAATAGTCATCATCCACATGTTCTTCTTCACTATCTTCAAAATCACACAAATACGCCTATGCACCATCATCACTCTCCTCCACCCCACTGTTGTCACTAGTGTCACTACCATCACCAATGTAATCAGTCTCTTTCTCTGACTCCATTTGCACCTAGCAACATAAGTGTCTCGTTACAGTATTCTTCTCCACAGTAATACACAAAGAATAATATGATGAGACAACAAATATTAATATTTAATCAAGAGATTGCTTACTTTTTTTTTTTTCCAACATGATGATCACTCGAGTGTAAAAAGCAAGAAAATTCCGGGTAAGGCAAGCCATTGTTACAAATTTCAAAATAGCATCACCCACGATTTCAGTCCAAAACATTTACTAAATGAAAAAGAATGACAGTCACTCAACAAAAACCCAAAGTCTGTGCTACAAAGTATAGACCATATTTGTCATTAACATGTAATTTCAGTCCGGAACATGTACGCATAGCAAACCCATGATTATTAAAAAAAAAAAAAGACAAAGCATATACTATAACCAAAGAATCGAATCATGACTTTTGCTATTGTCATTTACTAAAACAGAACACATTTTATCATTGTACAAGATATGAAAGAATCACAAAAATCAGTCATCTCTTTACTTTCTGTATGCCACCTACAATATAAAACTAATAAGAAAAACTAATCATCAAAGAAGAAACTACAAATAAACATAGCACCGAAGCACTATTGATTATAGAACCAACAATAATAAAAACAGAGCATTCAAAGAGCACACCACCACAGACCATTGCTCGTGCTCTTTTCGAACAGACTAACAAGAAGAATCCTTACCTTTCAACAAAATGAAATGCAGACGACAATGCTTCTGTGAGCTTCACTGACCTTCTCCCACAGTCGCTGGCATCAACTGCACCAGTGACTGCCACGTAAGGCTTCTCCGGCTGTGGGTCTAACTTGACCTAGCACTTTCTTGTTTTTTCCTTCAGCCTTTAACCGTCTTTGTTTTTTTCCCACTCAATCATGTATGTGCATTTTGTTTCAAGTGCGGGTATTGTTTTGTTTTTTTCTTGTTTTTTTAAAATCACAAATCCAGGTTGACAAACTAATCACTAAGCCTTGTTGCCCAGTCAACATGCCATGTCAGCAAATTAAACGGTGTCAAAAGACACGTCAGCATAATTAACACCGTTAACACAAACACCAAGTCCTTTTTAAATTAGAGGGACTAACGGTTTTAAACGGAGTAGACTTGAGGGACCAAAAGCTCTTGTTTGAAACTTCAGGGCCAAAAGCAAAATGAAGGTAAACTATGAGGACCAATCATTGTATTTTCCCTTTAAAACAAAAGTGTTGAAAATATGTTGTATATCACTGAAAAGAGTTGCATCTATTTTCACCTACGATTTAAACAAATTTCAATTATAAATTTTTAATCACGAATTTTTCAGCAATTTCTCCATCCTAAGTAATAGGCAGAATAAGTTGCTAAAAAAACAAGGTAAAAATAAAAACAAAATTATGTTTAGACGGTCTCCTATAAGCGGTCTGCATGTGCCCAATAATCCAAATGGCGGGAGGGAGAACCGCCCGTTATTGCCTTATCTAACCAGAAGGCGGTGAGCAATCGCTCTTTCTTACAGTTATTCCATCTTCCCGATGGCTTCTTCCTTTTCTCACCTTTCAAACACCCTCTCAAACCTCTGTTAGTTCTATTACCATCCTCAAAATGATGTCTTCTTTACATCCTTCATGGTTCTCTTCATTGAAACTCATCTCCCCTGCAAAACCCTCTCTTCTCCTCTCCTCCCCCTTTAAGCCCATAAAAGTTTTCTGTGCTCTCAACCCTGAAAATGCTGAATCTTCCGAAACCACGCCCGAATCTCAGCCCGAACCGGTTGACCCTGTGAAGCTCGCTTTCAGCAAAGCCAAGGCGTACAGAGAATCGCTGAAATCGAACTCTGATTTGAAAGTTGAGCAAAACATTGCTGCGAGTTCGGTTGAAAAATCAAACGGGAATGACGGGTTGAGTTCGGGTCAAAATGTTGTTGATAATGTTGGGCAGAAGGAAGTGCCACCGTCTCTGAAGATCGCAATGGAGAAAGCCAAGAAGTATAGGGAGAATAAAGGGGGCGTGGTTGATGAAACGGGTCAAGGTAATTCTACAGGCATATCTTGTGCTAAGCAGAAATTTCTTGCATTGATGTATTTAATTCAGTGGATGGTTAAAAATGGAAAGCTATGTGTTCCACAGTTTGTAGTTTGCGCTGAAATGTGTATTGGAAAGTTGGATTGGTTCTTAGGATTGCAGGGAGGGAATGAAGGGTCTTCAAGAAGTAATATTGTGGATAATAGTGTTGGTAAGAAGGGACAACTGTCAGTTTCGAAAATGGATTTCATGGGACTTGAATTTGCGGATAAGAAAAATACGAGGGGACTGCCACCTGGATTGGTTCCAATTTCTGACTCTTTCTCAAGAAGTGATATGCCTGAGGTGGAGCTGATTGTTGGGGACACGAGCAAGTTTGATGCTGCAACAACAGCTCCCATGCCTGAGCAAACTGAGGAAGATGAATCAGATCTTTACAAGCCAAAAGTTTCTACTTGGGGTGTCTTTCCTAGACCCAGCAATATTTCAAAAGCAGTATATAATATTTGATACTGAGCTCTCCAATTTTGCAATTTCCTTGATTTGCTCACATTCGGTTCGCTTGTTCAGGAATTGTTATATTTCTCAATTTGCCCTCCGTTTTCCTCCCAAATATCTTGTGTGTTTAATTATTTTCTTTTTTGGGTGTTTTCAGTACGGTGGAGGAAGAGTGATACGTCCTGGGGATGTGCTAGAGACTGAAGAAGAAAAATCTGGTAAAGAAGAACGAACAAGACAATTACTTGCGGCCTACAAGAAGGAAATACGGTTAAGTATTGATCCAAAGATAAAATCTGAGTGTGAGGAGGTAAGATTATGTAATGGCATCTGAAGTATTTCAACTCTTGCCTCACTATCACTGGCTAAATGGATTTAATTTTCTTGGTTGACTTACAAAAAATAAGATGTAGACTTCATTTGTTGAATAGTTTGAAGAAATTCATGTCAATACGATTTCACACATTCGTAAAAGAGATGTTCTTATGTATTCATGAAAATCAGAATCAAA